TAGAAGATTTTTACTTTCTGGAACTACAGGTGCTGCAAGTTCTTTTTGTATATTTCTTGCTCAAGTCTTAAAAATGAGCTATTTCTTGAGAATGGTGATAGAGAACAAGATCTGGGCACTAAACGTGTTACTGAGGTGCTAGAGCTTCCAGGCCCTCTCAGCTGACAGAATAAAGAAATGCATGTGTGCATACTAACCCATATCTACATATGTCTACATATATATCCATATGTGTCTACATTAAGCAAGATAGTAGTGCATACTGATGACTTCAATACTCACCCATTACCTCATGAGTCATCCTAGACTTCTCCCCTTGCTGGTCTGTAATCTCTTACTCCAACAGTGAGATGTCTGGCTTCCATCATCTGCTTTTACTTAATTTACTTAATCCACCTACTTATTTGTTAATCCATTTTACTTATTATAGTGGTTTCAGAATTGTTCACCAGAACTCTCACAGAAAACATTTTTGTCAACTAGAATATTTGCAATTACTTTGCCTTTAGTCTTACAGAATCCCTTAATTTTTAAAGTTACTTAGCCAGCATATTTCCCCCTACTCCCTTCAGTGAGGTTGTTTATATATTTTTAATATAGTTAGGTTATGGTGTCACAGTCTGCATTTCATCCTGGGATTCCACACCTTCTAAATGATTTTTTAAATTTGCATACAGGGGTCGGTAAAAGTAGCTTTATGGTTGTGAGTAGGTGAAGCAGAGTTTATTCTTGTATTATTATTTTATTTATTTATTATAATATTATAGTATAGTTATTGTATGGTATTAACTGTATACCTACCTTTGCCCATTCTTGTGTATTAAGGTTCATTCTTTGTACTGTAAAGCTGTACATGTTTTGACAAATGCATGATGTCATGTATGCACCATTACAGTATCATACAGTTCTACCAGGCCCTCCCCCCCAAAACACCCTTTGCTTTACCTATTCAACCCTTTCCCAAGCCCCAAAAATATGGCAATCATTGATCTGTGTACTGTTTCTATAGTTTAATGTCATATAAATGGAAGAATACCGTATGTAGCTTTTTCAGAATATCTTCTTTTACACAGCACTATGCACTTTTACACAGCAACATGCTCCCATGTCTTTTGTTTGTTTGTTTGTTTTATAGCTCATTTCTGTAATCACTGAATAATAGTCCATATTTTATCATTGAATAAGTATACCACGATTTGTTTATTCATTCACCTACTAAAGGTCATTTTCGTTGATTCTAGTTTTGGGCAATTTGAATAAAGCTTTTGTAGTTATTTACATAAAGATTTTTGTGTGGTCATAAGCCTTCAAATCAGTTAGAACACTTAGGAGTTTATTGCTGTATTATATGGTAAGATTATGTTTAACTTGGTAAGAAACTGCCAAACTGTCTTCCAAAGTGGCTATAACATTTTGAATTCCCACCAGCAATGAAAGAGTATTCCGTTTCCTCCAATCCTCGCCAGCAATTCATAGCGTCAGTTTTTTGGATTGTAGCCATTCTCAGAGCTATGTAGTGGTATTTTACTGTTGAGTTAGTACTCATTTCCCTAATGACGTGTGCTGTTGAGCATCCTTTTATGTGCTTATTTGCCATTTGTGTATCTTCTTTGGTGAGATGTCTGTTGAGATCTTTTGCTCAGTTTTTAATTGGGCAGTGTTGTTGTTTTTTTTCTTATTTTGAAAATGTTTTTATGGGCCTTAGCTTGTTCTTTTTCTGTTCTTATCTCTGAATGAGGAGATGCCAGCCAGACCTGGCATTTGTATTTCAACACCAGTATAGGATTCTCCCCCCACACCCCCATCATGCACCTGGGCTCAGAGGAACCTCCTTGGCTCTTAGAGGGCATGTGATCTTCACTCCTGCTAGTCTTTTACCTGCTGTGGATTTGCTGAGCTGGAAAAGAACCTGGTCCTGCTTCTTCTGCCTGATTCTGTGATATGTGGACAGAAATTCCTCCTGATAATTTGAACCCATCTGTAGTTTGCTCTTGTCTGATGTTATGTATGAAAAACCTCCATAATTTACCATTCCCATGGCTCTTTCTGTCTTTTCTGCTCCTTCCTCTTATGTCCAGCACATCCAACGTGCAGACAATGCACCTGACCTAATTTTTACTTTCAGCTGCCCGGCATTACTTGGAACTGTAGTCTAACAGAGGAAAAAGAAAGTTACTGATGCATGAATGGAGGATGTTGTAGCCAAGGCTTTAGAAAACAGGCATCCCAGTAGGAGTGTGGCTTCCAGCTTCCACAAATATCCTGCGTCTCCAAGGACAGCAGCACAATGGAAGAGAGAAAAAGCTCACTAAACAGAACAGCTCCCATTAATAACCTCTTAAAATAAACCCAGCACTTTGCTAGCCACTTTCCATATATTGTGATGTTTAATTCTGAAAGCAGCCCTCTCTGATAGGAATAATGGTTCTCAATTTACAGATAAGGGAGTATAAAACTTAGGGAAATAGTTGAAGACACACTGTTAATAAGTAGCAGAGTTGAGATCCAAACTCAAAACCCACGCTGCCAACCAGCATTTTCTTCCTTCTTATCAGGTCCACATTTATGCTTCACTCCTTGGAGATTCTACGGAAGATGGTGATTTCTATTCAGCTTTCCAATTCTGTGATAATTTTGTATTTTGATGATTAAGAAATTTGACTCAAGTGAACTATGAGTTGCTTACTAGCACCATCTTATCTCTTTCCACAATGGACAGTAGAAAAATGAAGTTATAGAAACAGGCTGCAGCATCTACATCACAACCCACATTTCTGAGTTACAAAGCACCTCGCTGCTATGCTTTATTTCAATAAATGAAAATACTGCAGATATTTTCAATTGATGTAGCACCTTTTATTTGAAAACCTTACCATCTCTGTGCCATTCATAAATCATCAAACCATTTTGGGAAGCAGGAGAATTACTTAATAAATGAACCTTATGTAATTGGAAGTTAAAAATGTTGAATTCTTTGATATGTAAAAAATCTTTCTATGTGTCTTAATAGAAAACAACAAGCAGTGATTTTTCCCCCCAAAACAGGAATGAAGCCTAAATGTCTTGGGCCCCCAAGTGTGTGATAATTTGTGAAGGCAGCCACAAATACTAATATATCATCATACTTTGCAGTTCACCAGGGCTGGTTAAGATCTAAGAACTCATAAATAGTAAAAAGATTAGCGTCCCTTCTTCCACTCCTGTGCCTCAACATGTAATTTAATATAAAACCAATTCTAAATTGAAAAACCCAAATAAGCATGCTGCAATTAAAATATTTCCCTTTCAGCTTTTATGCTTACAAAATTCTGAAGAGTTCACGAAGTATGATTTTTTAAAAATCTGTATAACAGAAATAATAAATCACCCTGTAGGGTTATTGTGGTGATAAAATGATACAATATGTAAAAATACCTCACATGGTGTCTGGTAAATGTACTTCTCTTTATGTTAAGGCTGGGAATGGGTGGTAGCAAGGGTATAATGAAGACTTGAGGTGTATTTTGGTTTGTTTCTTGGCTCTCTAGTGACTCAGGGGTTCCAGGTCTATGAAGTAGAGACACAGACAGTTTTTCAGGTAATTTGAATGAACATAGCTCTAAAGATTATTGTTCAGACATCATTCTACCATACAACTGGCACTTAGTGAATCTCACAACATTTCATTTTTGTACTTTGTTTTTTTGTTGTTTTTTCCCCCCACTCTCCAGACTGAGTCATTTGTGTCTTTCTTATTGGGATGTTCTAGAGTCATGAGGCAAGATGTAATTGGATTTGGCTCCCAATAAACAAATAATAAAATTATTTTCATGAGAGGATGAGAGGAAAGTAAGCAGACCTTTCTCCTTGAGATGTTTTTGGGTTGATAAGTGGCTGATTGAGTACCTGTGCGCCATACATGGGCCTTAGCATTTCTTCCAAATGAGAAGGAAAATGACATAGTTTCTTTGCAAAATTTTTCAGACTGTCAATTATATCTAACCTCCTGGAGAGACTAACCAGAAAAACTCCACTGACAATATGTAAAAGAAGTACCTCAAGGCCCACTGCCCCCAGGGCTTTAGTCTCTCATAATACTTCCCTGAGACTATAAAAATCATCCCCCCAAATTATTCTTATTTTTAATTAAAATAATTTTTTGACAGTTCTCAAACAGCTTCTCTCTGGAAAATTCCTTTTAGCTGAAACCCTACTTTACCTTGACTTATTTTTGTGCAGTTTTCTTATATTCATTTAAAAACGGGAAAAATAACAACAGGGGAGTTTGGGGTTATAAAATTACTTTCTGGCTTGACTTCTCATTGGATTAGATCAAACAGACTAGGAATGTGATCACTCACATGTATTCGCATGTCTGCCTATCTCTAGGCAAATGTTGTGCATTTTTTTATATACTCCAGCAAATTCTTGATGTTCAACTTCCTATATCTTAAGTTAAGCATGAGCTCAATCTTAGTAGAATTTAGCAGCTGGCATGATCATGTGTACTATTTATTGTTTATAGCCACCTTCTGTTCTGATTGATTGGTGCCCATAGTTGGATGACCACCTTGTTTAACAGCCTTTCTTTAACACCGATTTGTGGAATAAGTGGCTATCGAAGTACATAAAGTATTTAGAAAGTGCCACAGTGTTTGGAAAACATTTTACTTTCTGTAATGGGATGAATCCAATCTCAGTCTTTGGAAGTAGTGGGAAAGCTGATGGGCAACATTAGGTCATATCACCATGTGGGTTTGTTTCTCCATTTAATTTAAATGATAGTTATTAGGAGTGGCAATCTGCCATGGGCCATGAGTGCCTCTGCACATTCTTGCCGGGTTTGCCAAGAATGCAAGGCTCTTACTACTCTTAACTACACCACTTATCAGGGTTGTGTTTGCAGATCCGGTACTGTCTTCTTCAAAAGAAAGGCCAGGCTTTCTTCCACTTACTGCAAAAGCGGTAAATCCCCAAGCTCGGTGTTTCAGTCCTCTCAATGCAGCCCATTTTGTTTGCAGACACCCATCATGAGCCCGTCCATTAAACTTGGGGAACGTGGAGACCCAAAGCAAGTGACTGTGAAGCTCTGGCCACCGCTTCTACCGTGAGTAACAAAGTCCTTTCTCTCTGACCCAGGGATCTCATCCCCTTTGTCAGTATCCATGAAAGAGTAACAGGCTTATTTGTCAGTTTGTAAGTAGGGCAACATCTCAAGACGCTACACAGTTCCTGACACTTTGAAAATATTTCTATTTACACCCCATAAAAATAAGTCCTATATTGGTTATATTATTTCAAAAATTAGTGACCATGACCAGCATAGAATCTTTGGTTTTTAGTTCTGACTCTACTACTAAGTGAATGATCTTGAGTAAATGGTTTGTTCTTCTGAAACTCTGTTTCTACATCTGTATAACGAAGGGGTTCATCTATATCAGTGGCTTTTCAGCTGTGCTCTAGGAAACCCTTGGCCAGTCATGTCCAGGCCCTCACATTAGCCCCTGGTTGGGGCTGTTGGAGGTCATTGGAGGCAATGATACTGTTGTGTTGACTGGCCTGTCTCCTACCCTCAGCAGGGCCTCCTGCTGTGCCGTACTTACTGTCCCTAGTCGGTGCCCTGGCACATTTCCTTAGCTGCCATTTCCTTAGAGACTAAGATGGTTTCATTATGATCCCTTTCTAATGAATTTTTAAGTATTGGAGATGAAAATGTACTTAGAATAAAGGCCTGATACAGAAAAGAACAAAAAGATAAAGAGAGGGCCTGGGGGAATGTAAAACCACGTAGTAAAAAGCAAATATCAGGAAATAAAATTAAATATAAGTAATAGTGGTTATTTCTGGTTATTTGTTTTTATTTTAGTGTTATACTTCTTTGTATTTCAACTTGTCTATAATAATCACATATTACTTTTATAATTGGAAAAAATTGATTAAATGAAGCTTAAAAATGAGAAAGAATAAAAGATCTGTCAAGGTTAAAGTGTGAAAGGTCACTGGTGTTTTTTAAGCAAGAAAATAACTTACTCTACTTGATCAGAAAGAGTTGTAGGTCAGATTTTTGAAAGATCCTGCTGGTATGTGGGAAGGTGTTGCCCTGGCTGGGATAGTGGATTTAAACAGAAGTCTTTTCTTGCAGATCTAAAAGTAGCAGAAGTCAGGCCCTCTGACAGGTGCTTGCCAGTGCTTGCCAAATATTTTCACTTAGGTGAGCACTTCTTTCTCCTATTCAAGAGAGCTGCCCTTTTCTTCATCAAAATCATTTAAAGGTCAGTGAGAGAGCTTGTCCCATTTGTCAACCTCCATTGCCTCTGAATTTCTGGTGATCTAAGGATTTCTGAGTTGGATAGCTTTCTTTCTAAAGACTGAGTTTGATTTCATGTGATTGGTTGTACTAATTTGCAGAGGCACACTACAGTTGTGCAATGAAAAATTATGCAAATATGCATGTGATATTTCAAATTTTTTTTTTGCTAGATACATATGTTGGGGATTGGAACTTTATGTGATTCCGTAATCATTTACCACACAGAATTTGAGTACAAAGAATATAGAGGGTCTTGCTCAAGAAGTGCTTGTAGGCATATTAAATAATATGACTGTTAATAGCAGAATATGAAGGAAATTGTGAATCGAACTAAGTGCTTCTTAGTTCTCTTCAGTTTCATTTAGTCACAAATTTAGGGGATTCAAGGTGTGTGCTCAGCACTATGGCAGCACTATGATTGCATCACCAAGTTTCTCTGAGGGTGTCATTGGCTTTAATCTTTGGGTTTTAAAGCACACAACTCTACTGTGTGATTCGTAACTGTTCTGCATTTTCAACAAGCACGATCCAAAAGGAATTTCCTGTCTGCTGCTTGCATATCCTGTTGTTGTCATCTTACTAAAACATGAAATGATTTAAGCTTCGAAGTTGTTATTGTTTTCAATGGAACAGCTGCCCGGTACTTCCAGGGACAATACCAGGTGTATAAGGAGGCTATCTGTGCAAATCACAGCGAAAAGCTGAGCAATAATCTGGTGGATTTGATCATCGTATGTAACCAGCCTCAACAATTCAGGGGCAGACAGTGTGAAGTTATTTTCATTGTTCAGAGCAGTGCAGCAAATTGCTTCAGCTCCTCCACTTGATTTACGTAGTGTCAGACTTAGCCTAAGTGATTGACTTGAACAAATCTATGCGCCTTTTTTTTGCCTAGAATTTTGTTCCTCAATATTGATGGCCTCTAATATGAGCTCAAGTACTTTCATTTTCCAGAATTCTTCTGCTATCCACCTCCCCTCCCTTTAATCCATGAATTGAGGGATAATTCGCTCTTTATCTTGTATGTGTATTTTATATCACTCCTGCTATTTTTTCCCCAGAAAAAAACCTTTTATTTTGAAATAATTTTAGACTTGCAAAAAAATTGCAAAAATTGTACAAGGAATTCTGTTCACTGTTCACCCAGCTCCCCCAGTAATTTAAATTGCTTAAATAGCCACAGCATAATAATGAGAACCAGGAAATTAACATTGTAACAGTGCCATGAAGTAATCTACAGACTTTATTGAAATTCCAATAATTATCCCATTAATGTCTTTATCTGGTCCTTTATCTGACATACTTCTTTCGTTTTCTCTAATCAGAGACAGCTCCTCGGTCTTTGTTTTTTGTGATCTTGACACTTTTCAAAGTCAGTTTTGTAGAATGTTTTTTTAAAAAATGGCTTTGTCTGCTATCTTCTCATGATTTGGTTCAGGTTATATATTTAGGGCAAGAATATCACAAAGGTGATATGCCCTTTAAGAGGTAAATGATGTTGGTCTGTCTCATTATTGATGATGATTAATCACTAGTTTAAAATGGTCTCCTCCTGCCCTGGCTGGTTTGGCTCACTGGATAGAGCATCAGCCTGTGGACTGAAGGGACCCAGGTTCGATTCCAATCAAGGGCACATGTCTGGGTTGCAAACTCGATCCTCAGTCGGGGGCATACAGGAGGCAGCCGATCAATGATTCTCTCTCATCATAGATGTTTCTCTCTCTCTCTCTCTCTCTCTCTCTCTCTCTCTCTCTCTCCCTCTCTCTTCCTCTCTGAAATCAGTAAAGGTATCCTATATAATAAAAGCCCAGCTACTGAACGGTAGAATGACCACAATGACCAGTCGCTATACCATGCACTGACCACCAGGGGGCAGATGCAGTGCACTCCCACAGTGGGAGCACCGCTTGGCTGACCGGGATGAGCAGCTGCTAACTCAGCAGAAGTGGGTCCACAGCTGCATGGCTGACTGGGATGAGTGACGCTCCCCGAAGGCCATGCCCCCCACCAGTGCACGAATCCTGTGCACCAGGCCTCTAGTATTAAAATAAAATAAAATAAAATATAAAATAAAATGGTCTCTTCCTGCTCTTAACATATTTAGCCTCACATTCTATATACTTTTGTCATAACATTTTAGGACTCAAAGAAATAATTTGTCAATAATATTAAAAGTAACATAATAGCAAGTAGTAGACCAGTGATGGCGAACCTATGACATGTATGTCAGAGCTGACACGCGAACTCATTTTTTTGGTTGATTTTTCTTTGTTAAATGGCATTTAAATATATAAAATAAATATCGAAAATATAAATCTTTGTTTTACTATGGTTGCAAATATCAAAAAATTTCTATATGTGCCACGGCACCAGAGTTAAGTTAGGGTTTTTCAAAATGCTGACACACCGAGCTCAAAAGGTTCGCCATCACTGTAGTAGACAGTAGTATTTATTATGTGCTGAGAACTACATACGTTACTTCACTCGCTCCTCAAAATGCTTCTACAGACACTTTATCACCTCCATTTTACCTCTTGGGAGAGGACATTCCTAGTTGCCAAGTGACTGCCTTGGAGAGAGAATACAGCTCTGCTCATTTTTTTTTGTGGCACGTAGAGAGCCCCGCACAAAGCAAGGGGCTGTAAATATTTGTTAAATCGACATAAATTGAAATTAAATGGAAGGCAGAGTGTTAAGATTGTATAACTAATTATATATGTCAGAACAGGAGAAGGAGTCATGGGTAATTCTGAGGTACTGAATTTGGGGGAGAGGGATACATAAAAGTAATGATTTATTTTCAAAGGACCAAAGCTAAGAAAGAAGGTGAAGTTTTTGTTTTTCAGAGTGGGTTAAGAGCAAAACCTTGGGAAGCACTCACATTTAGGGTATTTGGTGGAAGAAAAATTAAAAAAAGAAGGGGGAGTAAAGTGTAAACAAGGTAAAAAAAAATAAAAAAACAAGATACAGGGTTGTCACTAGCCAATTTTCAAATCTGGGATGAAGACAATGAAGTGAAGATGTGCATGGGGCCCTGATTAAATTCCATGGGCTATTTTGGGGAAACTAAAAACACATTATAAAACATTGTTATAGATTTTTAAAAAAAATTTGGTCAACACACTGTTACCCAGAGTAATGAAAGAGAAAATTGTCAAGATAAGTCAGAAGAATGGATAACTCAGAACAGGTAGAACTGACTACAAAGCACATTGTATATGATTTCTGATGCAGCACATTTCCCTTTCAATGTTTGCTAAATTTATGTGAAGAATAGCTTTTATTTCTTAATATAAAACCTGAGTGGTGGAAGGGAGAGAGAACCAGAATTTGAAAAGTGGTCCCATGTTTATACTTGTGAGCTTATTATAAATATAAGGTGACTTCGAGTTGTTCTAAATGTAAACCCCTGCTGGCGTTATCTAGCTTCGCATTTTACAATAAGGGAGATCAGATCAGTGGACCAGAACTCAGATATGGTTTCAGTGCAGTAAGGAGACTCGTCCAGCCCCTCTGTACCTCAGCTTTCTCACCTAAAAATGAAGAGGCTGCAGAGATGACCTCACTTTTGTCCTCTGGAGCTAAAAACTGCCGATGGTGCTGTGGTTGGAGGATGCTAGCTAAATAACTGGTTTGCATTGCATATAGACTATGCGTACTAATTATTTGACATGTGTAACTGCTTCCTTCAAAAGCAGATTTTCTAGAGTAAAAAATAAGTGGAGCGATTCACTCTCAGTGCTCCATAGCATGATAATTGTGGAATTAACAGTTACAAGAGGGGCCTTTTATTT